ACATAGCTCCTCCCTTGTGTCCTCCTTCCTTACACCCCACAGCCAGAAACAGAGATTAGTACAGGCTTTCCCAGCTCTCCAGGAATTCCAACTTATATTTCTGTTTGCATCTCACCCTTGCAGGCCCTCTATTTTATAATTTACCACCTCAGGGATAAATAACTTAAAACACATAGCAAAGCGATTGTGTAATGTTTGTAAAAATAATCACGCTTTACTTGAGATGTGCAAGAAAATCTATAGAGCCGAAGAATGCAACAGCAGAGCCTATCTGCACTTCCCTGCTTCTGGTCCTTCACTGTCCTTTGTCAGCCCTTTCCAAATCCTCTTAGGAGGACCCTTTTCCACTCCGGGACAGGGTGTTGCAACATCAAATTTAAGCCTTTCTTCTGTAGCTCCCCTTCACAGGTACTTGACTCATCATAAAGGGTTCTTTTCTGCAGAGGTGTGTTCCCTTCTTGATTTTTTACCATCCCAAGCTTTCTTTGCAAATGGCTTCATAGCCCTTCTTGTAAGGGAATGCTTGTCCCTCAGTTCCCAGAGAATCTGCACAACCTGACCTCCTCCAGGATGGAGCAATGCCTTTGTTATCTGAAGATAACAAGCCCATTCAGGTGCCAACAGTCTCTAAAAGTCCATCTATTCATAGAGAAACGAGTTCCCCTCCCTTTTTTCCAGTGCAACATTTGTGAGATAGGGGCACAAGAGTAGTTGGTGCTATAAGTGTGGAAACCATCAGCAAAATGAACCTTCCTCTATGATTAGGGAGGTGTTTCTGTCCAGGAACTGCTGGGACACTGGAAAGGCAGTGCCACTCCACGGTGTGCCATGGAGCTCATGGAAGATATTTCTCTACAGCACAGAGCTTTGGATATTTGTAAAACAGAAATGGTGCTTTCCTGACCCGTGGGAAGCTTCCCTTCTGATTGGCATCAATGAGCCTTATTAATAAAAATTTGAAACCCAAAAAAGAAACAGTTCATGTCTGAGTATGATAACCCACTCAGGGAAAAGGGCTCCCAGCTCAGCCAGCAGACAGTACCTTGAGAAGAGCTAAAGGACAAGGATGAGGAGCTACCTACATCAGGAACCTGCTCCAAGAGCTTATTGCAATGTCAAGATGAGGTGAAAGCCCAGGGGAGAGCTTCAGCACACAGAGAAATGAGACAACAGCACAACAGAATTTTACTTGGGGTAGAGATTTACACCACGAGGGATGGAGAAGGACCAAGAGTGAAGCCAAGGGAGGAGACAGTGCAGGAGATCTGGAGGTTTCAATGAAGGAGAGCAGTGTGGGACATGTGTTAGTGATTTTTTTAGTTACTCAAGGTAGTTTAATTCCTTTCAACAAAAGCCATATTACAGACCCTGCATGCTACACCCTGAGCTATGTATATGCAATTATGCCAGTGACCAGCGAGCACCCACTACCGCTTCCTTCTGCTTTTCAGATACTCAAGAGACTTCCAGAGGATGGACAAGAATTACAGCCAGGCAAGCTCCGACCAGGCACGAGGATTCTTAGCAAAGAAACAGAAGTTAAGTTCTTTCTTAACAAAGGTTCTTTACAAGGTTCTTCCACCTGATGCTGGTGTAGCACTGAGGCATTACCCAAGAAGACTGGGGTGTTTTGGCTGCACAAGGCCCTGAGCAACCCAATCCAGCTTGGGAGGTGACCCTGCTGCGAGCAGTGGACTGGACTAGATTAAGTCCATCCTAGCTCTTTATAAGAGCAATGTTTCCCTCAGACCTGTGTCTATTTAAGGAAGCTGTGTCTGCCTGTTAACTCCAGATTCAGGGAAAACAGCAGGAGAGCAAGAGTGTCTTAGCTGAGGGTAAAAAGCCACACGCTGCCGGGGTGAGGTAGCAGATCTGCAGGGAGGGGAGGACATTTCCTTGGACACCCCTGAGGAGATGCAGCCCTTGAGAAATCGCTCACCACTGCCCAGCTGCTGCTGAAGTGTTCTGCTCCTGTGGAGTGATGGAGGAGCTTTAGGAGTGCTCCAGAGGCAGCAGCAGCAGTGGATCTCACAGACACCTGTGAGAATTTCTTTCTACTTCACCAGGAGGGCAGCTATCACCTCCCCAGCCTTCCTGACTCTGCCCAAACGACCTTCTCACCCACATTAGGAGTTTTGCCCAGACCAAACAAGAACCTCCTCAGACTTTGGATGGAACTCAGACAAAGCAGACATGACTTTGGCCATGCCTAGCAAGACACCTCAGTCAGCCAAAACCTGACTGCGTGTAAATGCTGAGAGATGAGATCTGAAATAGCTGAGGGCTGAGCTTGGAACAGAGATGTTTGTCACCCTCCTGCACAGAGGGACAGTGCCTGAGCTCCTGTTTGCCCATCAAATGCCCAGCAAAGCCTCACCACGGGCAGAAGTGCTAAGCAGAAGGACTTGAAGAAGCCAGGGATGCTGAGGAGATCATGGGAGACAGGGTTTTCTCACTGTCCACACTGTCTGAATTCTCAATCAAGCCATTTATTCAAAAGTCATGTGGCACCTGTCCAGTGACTGAAGTGCCACTGTGAAAAGGGGCATCACCTTTCAAAATGTTTCAATGTGACCACTATAAAATGCATAGTTTTGGAGCATACTGCTGCTGGAACACTCAATTATAGACTAAAATGCTGCATTCCCAGAATAGAAGCAGAGAAAAGAGAAGCAAATGATAGCACTGTATTCAGGTAGTCATTAATATTACAAGCAATGTAGTATTCTAGGCTATTAATATTTTTAAAGCAATTAATTTTCCCAGGTGTAGATGTAATCAACATAGAGCTGGGTAGTAAAATATCCTGACTGTTTATCCATGGGAATAGTTTTTAATTCAGCAGTTTTGCAGGAGGAAATTACAAGTAAAATAATTTACCTCAGTAGAGAGAATTTATTTACTGTTTTATTTTGTGATACAATTGTTTTGAGGGTTTTATATGATTGTATCTTTGTCAGGCAATAAAAGTTAATTCTGTTTGTTTGTCTGATCATGTTAAGACAAAAATCAGCACATCTATAGAGTACTTCATTGCCCCTGGAATGCAAAGGGGACATCCAAAACACTGGTTAAGAGCTTTGTATTTCTTCATGGACAATTTTTGATGCTTTCACGGAGGTAAAAAGACCAGCCATTCTTCCCTTTAAAAATACACCTGTTCTCAGAATTTGGATGTGCACTACACATCTGCACACAATAGGAGGTCCAGTTTATCCCCATCCCAGTCATTCATGTGGCTTCCAAACCAAAATCCCACCCTGATGAAGCTCCATATAAATAAAATAAATAAAATATCTTGCTCTTTGGCATACAATATATGCCTCATACATTTCAGCAAACTATTCAGTGTGGGATTCTGTGTCAGGATACTTCTGTCACTACAGATTAACAGAATCATTGCACTTACCTTTCAAATACAGCTGCTCTCCTGGGAGTAAATACCGTGATTATTCAGCAGTTCACAGCACTCTTAAGACAACTAAAATATGCCCTTCCCAAACCCCCATAAAAGGAGCAATTTTCTGTTAACATCTTGCTTTTCTATTCCTTGTTTTTATAGACCTGGGCATGCTATACATGTGTATGAAATGTAAAAGCTTTGCCTCAATGTAGACAGAAAGCAAATAAAATGGGATTGAAGCTCCACATTTGTTTCAGTAAGAGTAGAGCCACCTGAGAGACCACAGAGAAAAAAACTGAGCATTACTTTTGAAGGAAGGAAGCTATGTCATAGCAAGATGCTCTAAAAATTGGAGATCAGCTGCAGGTTTGGAGACAGAAAGTCTTTTATTGATAAGTCTCAACAGTCTGGGAAAAAAAAAGAAAACCTTGCACATTTAATGTTGAAGCCATTCTTGAACTAAGGATTGATACAAACACGCCAGCAGGTAGGGAATGCAAGAGGTTAACAGCAAAGTCATTTTAAGCAGAAAAGGAAGCTGATTCATAGGCAGTGAGGAGAAGAAAAAAAAAAAAGGGTGGGGATTGTCACCTTGAGATTCTATCATATTATTAATGATTAAATAGATATCAGTGGTTCATACCTGTAATTTATCAGAACCGCACTTGCTCTTTCAAATATCTGCTCCAAAAAAAAAAAACCCACACACAAAACAAACGAACAAAAAACCCCAAAGAATGACAGCGTTTCTGTACAGTTCTGCATGCCAGGGTAAAAAATGTCACTTTCCATTGACTTCCTGGCTAGTGGGAGGCACCTGCTCCCTGTTCCTCGTCCGGGTAAACGAACGCAGCCTTATCACCTTCCCCCCCAGGAGAGGAGAGCCGCGGCTGCAAGGGACGGGCACCTCTGCCAGATAAGGCAGTCATGTCAGCCTGGGAATTCTTTGGGCTAAATGGGATGAATTTATCGAGTCTTCCAGCATAAAACATCAATCCCAGGTACATGACCATCCTTGGGTTTTTTTGGACTCCTTTCCCATCTCACCTAATAAAGAAATCTGACTGGAGCTGTGCACCCCTTGCAGAATCACTGCTCTGAAAAAGTTTAAACTAGGGAATGAGAAAGGTTAAAGAAGAAACTTTGCATAAAACAGAGAGGAGCAATTAATTAAAAATATATTAACCAGTCACACAGAATCCATTATTTAATGCTATTAACTATTGAGCCTGCATAAAATCACCCATTAAAGGTGAGAATAGTTTTATTACAGGACATGTTTCACCTGCTCAGTACTTATGTTGTCTAATATGGCTGTTAATCATAAAGTTGCCACCACACAGTTATTTAGAGCTGAAAAATACCTTGCATCATTAAAATACTCCTTGAAAATATGCAGAATATCCTGTGCTAGTCACATCCTTTCCCAGTCTTTCACCACAAACCAGAGGAAATAAAAGATAATTTTTATCATGTTTTTCCTGTTGAATGCACAGCATGGAATTATGTGATTTACCTTTGAACGGCTAAAAATCATATAAGTTAAGAATAAAACGCAAACAAACCCAAACCACCAAACTAGACTCCTTCCAGTAACTGAAGCTGGAATAATTTTATTTCCAATCTATTGCACATTTTATTATTCATAGTGTTTGTTTGCTTTCGGGGCTTTCCTCAGCTTGGACAGTGGAAACACGTTCATCTGTTTCTTTTTTGGCTTCCAGTCGGTTTCACTTTCAGATTCTCATGTTTCACACTCCAACCTTCAGGTTTCAAGCACTGCAAAGGAATATTTATCCCATTTAGACAAACAAAAACGCCGCGGTCGCCGGGCGCACTCACACCGTGTCTATTGCTCTGCAAAGCTTGAGCCCATCCCGTCCCCTGAAGATTCTCCCTGATGGTACTCTGAGATTTGCTGGGGACAGAAATTAAATAAATAGGAGTGATGACGAATTTAGGATTTATTAAAAAACCCCAAGAGTTCTGCAGCGCTCTCTAACAGAGGCCAATAAAATATCATTACATATTATCGATTACACGATTACCGCGCGTCGGGAAAATGATGAGGAGCCGTGACACCGGACTTGGTGCCCTGCAGAAGTGTCCCAAGACGTAAATAATGCCGGCGGTGTTGCCACCCGGCGGCTGCGGTGGGGTTGGGAGCAGCACAGCCCCCTTCCCTCAGGGCTGCAGGGATGGAAAGGAGGAGCGGCTGTCCCGGGAGCGCGGCACATCCCCGCGACTTTTGATTTAATCATTGATGCTTTTAAATGGGTGAGGCAGCTCAGCAAAAGAAGGGGAGCGAGTGCGAAAAGGGTGGGTTTTGCTGCGGTAATGTTGTATTGTTTTTTTGTTATTATCTTTTGCTTTTTTTTTTTTTTTTTTTTTGGAGAGGGGTTGTGTTGTTTATTGGTGATTTTTGTTTTGTTTTGCGTTATTTATTTATTTATTTATTTATTTATTTTTCCGGAGTAAGGGTGGTATTTAACATATGGCACTCGGTAATCTCTACACGGAAGGCTGTTAAAACATCTGCTGCCTCCAAACGCATGCGGCAGCGCCCGTGGGCACGGGGACAAGGCGAAGGGGCAGCTCGGGCACGGTGGCTCCTGCGGCCGCTGGTCCTTGGCTCCCTGTCCGCCGGCCGCGCTTCCCAGGGACGGTGTTTCCCCGCTGGAAACGGGCACCGAGCACACAAAAGCCGTCGCACCGGGAGAAAGTGCTTTGGTTGTTTTGGTAGGGCTTTTTGTTGGTGGTGGTGGTTTGTTTTTTTTTTTTTTTTTTTTTTTTTCCCAGATCAGCGGCACCTCCGCGTGCAGAGCTGGCACGCTTCCATTTATTATTGATTTAAGGCGTTGGGTTATTTTTTTGGTTTTTTTTTTCCCTAACGGGACATCCCCACCACACGCCACGGTGCCCTCGGCTGCTCTCCCGGCTGCCGCCCCATCGCGGGGCGCTGGGGGCCCAACATCCCTTTCCTGCCGTGCCCCAGACATCACCCCACTTCGGAAAGTCGCTGCCGGACAATCGGGACACCCGTTGTCCTTCCCCCCCCGAAAGCCACATAAATCACAATCGCTGCATTGTCGGGCTACAAAGCCAGACGGGAGCGCTTATGAATTTAAGTTTGGAGAAGGAAAACGTGCGCTGACACAACACGCTCCCTGTTCGCAGGAGCAGCCAGGAAGGGGAAATGAATGGTGGAAGTTAAAGAGCCTTTCATTGCGGAGCGCGCCGCAGCGGGTCCCGCTCGCCGCCCTCGCCGTGCGCCGGGGGGTGCCCCCTCCTCGCCGCCCCTCAAACGCGAGCCTGGCCTGGCACAGCTCGGCACAGCTCTGCCCGGCTCCGGGAACCCGCGGCGCGCCCGCCGGGGCCACACACGATGCCCGGCAGCTCCCCACGTCCCGGCTGCGCCCGGGGGCTGCGCGTCCCGCGGAGTGCGCGGGGATGGGTTTGTGGGGAAATGCTTCTCTCGGCCGTCCCCCGCTACAGGGGGACGGGGGCAGGCGACAGTCCCGCTGGCTTTTTGTTGCCCGAGTAGCACTTTGCCCGTGTCCCAGCCAGCTTTTGCCGGGGAAGCCTTGCTGTCGGACTCCGACTCTCACCCCTCCCATCCGCTTCACGCAGAAGGGCGAGCGCTGCCGTGGGACGTGGGACGGGGCGCCGGTGCCCACTCGCGGGCAAGGACACGGCCGCTCGCCCGCCTTGCCCCCGGTGCCGGCGGAGCCCGTGCGGCTGCCGGGGCCGGCGGTGCGCTCAGGTGAGAGGGCTCCCTCTGGCCCCATCCCTCCCGGCTCGCTCTCGATGCCCGGGCATCATGCGCCCTTAAAATATAATCTGCCCGGTAACAATCAGCGCGCAGCGGCGAGAGCCCCAGAGCTATTGGCTATGCAAATAGCGGGAGGGGAAGCGGCGCCCCAAAGTCCCCGCTCGCACTTTTAAGGCGGTATTTCCGTGCCCGCCGCCCCCGGCCCACCCTCCGCGCCGGCCGCCTCCGGGGGGCTGAGGGGCGGCCGCTGCGGGGACCCCGCACCCCGCGGCTGCTCCGCGCCCGCCCCGGCAGCGCCTTCCCCTTCGGGAGCCTCCGCTCTCCCGCAGCCGGCGGAGACTTCGCAAAGTTGTCACATTTTGCAGGCGGGGAGCGACTACCGGCGAGTGCGAGCCGGGTGGAAGTCACCCTGTGTGGGACAAAACTCCTCTTACCTCCCCCCTCCTCCCCAGCCAACCTTTCTCCCTCCTCCCTCCTCCCTCCCTCCTCCCTCCCTCCTCCGCTGCGTTTCCTAGAAAGTTGTATCAGTGTGGCCGTGCAACGCTAAGGCGGTTCGCCTGCTCGAACCGCCAATGTGTGCCGGAGGAAATAGCGTGGTGGTTGTGAGATTTCGCCCCGAAGACGCCGCGGAACCCCCACCCCTCAAGGGTTTTTTGGGGGGTTTGCTGTTAGCGGGGAGCTCTGTCACCCTCCGGCTGCAGGTTTAAGGAGGTGCCGGAGCAGGGAGAGCGAGACATGGATCTGGCACCCTGCTATGCCAGGATATTTCATACTTCGACCCCATCGTCTGGGTGGGTACCGAGGGGCACCCACAGTTCCTTGCAATAAGAAAAGGAGAGGGAAATTGATCGGGACGGGCTCCTCCAGAAGGCAAGTGTGGAACGGGTTTAATTTGGTTGCTGGAAGGAAGCAAAAGAGAAGCTGTCATTTGTGTCTGTGTGTCCCTATACGAGGGCCTCCTGGTTCCTTGTTAGCTTATAGAGAGGGAAAAAAAAAAAAAAAAAAAAGAAGCGTTTGATGTTACGTCTGACCAGCTGCTGTTCTCCATAATAACAAGAGAGAGAACTGCCTGCCCTGGCGAGTTGCGTCACTTCGCTTCAACTTTAGGCTAGAAATCAAGAGAGGGAGAGACAAGTTTCAAGGGAGGCAGGAGCGAGCTGGAAAGCCCTGCCGTCTTCCTCCCACCCACCTACCCCTCCTCCTTTACCCCTCTCCTATCCCCACCCCCTTCCCCCCTCCAAAAAAAAAAAAAAAAGGGAAAAAAAAAAAAAAAAGGAAAAACCTTTCCCATCAGAGAAAGAGGGAGATCTCTTTGGAAACATGGAGCTGCTGTGCTGCGAGGTGGATCCCATGAGGAGAGCTCTGCCTGACCCGAACTTGCTCTACGATGACCGCGTTTTGCACAACTTACTAACCATAGAGGAAAGGTATCTGCCCCAATGCTCCTACTTCAAGTGCGTCCAGAAGGACATCCAGCCCTTCATGAGGAGGATGGTGGCCACTTGGATGCTGGAGGTTCGTACACCCCGGCCCCTCGGAGCGGGGGGAGGCAGAGCGGCCGCGAGCAGCACCCCGGCACCTCTTCCCCCTGCAGCCCCTCGCTCTTCTGATCACCGGGTGGCTTCTTCTTGTCGATCCCCTCTCCTCCTTGTTCCCCTCCGGAGCTCAGCCGGTGCGGGAAGGGGCGCGGGGGACACCGAGTGCCCGCGGGGGAAGTCGCCCCTTCCGGGGGGCTCCGGGAGCGGGGTGCAGGAGGGGAGGAAACGCGGCGTGGTGGTGGGGGTGGGGGGGATGGGGGGGGGGAGAGAGTTGGAAAAGTCATTTGCAGTTAAAAGCAAAGAAAATCCGCCTCCGGGAGCGCTTGTGATTGAGGCATTCCTGGGAAAAAGGAGCAGCACGCGGGGCAGGGCGAGGGTCGGGGGGTGCCCCGTGTGCCCCGCGTTCTGCCCGGCGAGGGTTCCGTGCCCACGTATGCAGTGGGGAGGACGTGCCTTCTTCTCGCCATGTTGCGCTGCATGCGGACTCTGCTCGCAGGCGCCGAGCCCGGCTGCCCCCGCTGCTTCCCGGGGGGCTCGGGAGCGGCCCCCGCCCCCGCGGAACGGGACCCCCGGTGTGCCGGGGCCGTGGGGCGGGCGCTGAACCCCCCGTTCTGCCCGAGGCTTCGGCCGCAGCGGCAGCGGGCCCGGAGCCCCGCAGAGTCGCCTGCCTTGCGCTGGCCCCACCGGCCATCCTTTGCCCCTTCGGATCTCCTTTGGGGGGGACCTTTCCCCGGCCAAACTCCGTGGGTTGGAAAGCCCAGACATCCCGCTTGGTTTTCATGTGCGATTTGTGCTTTTTCTCCGCGGCTCCGATTTTTTGTAAATTTTTAAAACATTTTTGCTGCTCGCTGCCTGCTAAAAGGATCCAGGCGGCTCGGGCTCTCTCCACCCCACCTCGCCCTCGCTATGTCTCCCGTCCTTCCCCCACAACGCGGGATTGGGGGCGCAGGGCTGGGGGACACTCAGCGGGGGAATTTTTACAATTGTCGGAAACGATAGGGGATCGTCCCGGGATGCCACCAGCCCCAAAACCGGGACCGCCGGGGAAGTTTTGATATTTTTTATCGATTTTTTGAAAATATGACGAAATAAAAAAGAAAAATTGGGTCGCAAAGAAAAAAAAAAAAAAGTCTGAGGCTGCTCGCTTGCTGCTGGATGGGGCTTTTCGGCTCTCCCACACAGTGTCTTGAATTCATTTCTTACTGAATGAACTAAAGGAATGTGAAAGCCGATTGACAGCCTTCCCAGCGTCTCCACAGATCTCCCCCTCCCCCAAAATTTAGCTCCCCGGGAAACAAAAATAGGAGCAAAAGGAAGGGAAGTAGTGGTCTGTTTGGTGGGTTCACTCATTTATTTATTTTTTCCTTCTTGTTTCTTTCTCGCTTCCCACCCCCGTTTCCCCCCGCGACTGCCCCATCGTTCCCTCCCCACGCTCCTCACTTGCAGGTCTGCGAAGAGCAGAAGTGCGAAGAAGAAGTTTTCCCTCTGGCCATGAATTACTTGGACAGATTCTTAGCTGTGGTGCCCACTCGGAAGTGCCATCTGCAGCTGCTGGGGGCGGTGTGCATGTTCCTGGCCTCCAAGCTGAAAGAGACAATCCCCCTCACAGCCGAGAAGCTGTGCATATACACGGACAATTCCATCAAACCCCAAGAGCTGCTGGTAAGCAGCCCCATTCCTCTCTCCTCTCCGGCACATCGCTTTTCTCTCGCTGGCAGGGCACCCTGCACTTCGCCAAGCATCCCCTGCCTTTTAGACAAACCCACGCTTCTCCCGCCTTTCTGGACGGCCAGAAAGTCTCGGGAGGGGACAACGCTGAGGGCGGGGGACGCCTGCGGGGACATCGCTGTCCTCCGAAGCCGCCTGGCAGTGCCGTGCGGCGCTCCGCCCGCCTGGTGCGCGGGCCCGGGGTTGCGGGGCTGGCGGTGCCGGGGGTGGCTCCGTGTCCCGCCGTGTCCCCGCCGTGTCCCCACCGTGTCCCCACGGGGGACCTCGCCGGGCGCACGTGCGCGGGCGGGCGGCGCGGCGGCGCCACCTGGCGGCAGACACGCGGCGGTGCGGGCCGGGGCCGGGGGGCCCGGGATGCTCCGAGAGGCACCGGCACCGATTGATGCTCGGGGAGTTCCACCTGAATTACAGGAGGAGCTTCTTCACTGTGCAGTGACCCAGCCCTGAGCAGATTGTCCAGAGAGGGCGTGGAGTCTCCCTCACTGGGGATATTCCAGAATTGTCCCTGGACACAAGCTTGTGCCCTGTGCTGTGGGGTCGCCCTGCTGGAGCAGGGAGGTGGCACCTGGTGGTCCCTTCCAGCCTGACCCATCCTGTGTGATATCAGTTAAATCACCTCGTGTCTGCTGCTTCTCGCAGTTCAGACACAGTGGAAGCAAATTGATAATTACTGAAGGAAATAAGCGATGCATACATCATGGTGTGGAGCACTGGACGTGCACCTTGGTGACATGGATGCTAGGTCAGAGAGATGGCTGTAGGCATCATCCGAGTTGTTGAAGAATTTTCCTATGAATCACTGGGAATTCCCCCTGGGGAGGGGCTGGGTTTGATAGCTCATTCTTCCTCAGACCGAAAGAGCCTTGCCCTCAAACACTGCCTGGCTGGCAGGGCCAAGAGGTGTCCTGTTGGGTGGCACAGATGAGCAGGGGAAGTGCGTGGTCCCCACGTGCAAATATGCAGAGCAATGTCCCTACCTTCTTATGCCACGTGGATTTAAGCATGTGTTTAAAGTGCTTCCTTGTATTTTGTCCTCTGGGTTGACTGTTCTCTCTCAAAAGCTGTCACATCAGTAATTCTGGGAAGAGCAGGCCTTGAGTTCACATAATCACAGTTACGTTCCAACATTTTACAGGTTTTCTTGAAAAATTAAAAAATCCTGCCTGGTTTCTGCAGCCTTTTGCATATATGTGAGATTTTTCAGACCATGGAGTACTCTGTCATAATCCAGCAGGAATGTCCGTAGGAAAGTAACTTGCTGTTAAAGTGGGCATCTATTCAGGGAAACGACTGCAGAAATGGCATTGTGGGGTCCATGTTTATGGTTTCTCAGCAACGCTGGTTGACGTCTCCGCGGCTGCAAAATTAAAGGACCTTTTTTTTTTTTCTGTCTTGCCAGCTCTGTCAGCTCAGCTGGGGCTCCCCACCACGCTGGGCTCCATCAGGCCTCATCAGGACTCAGGAATCAGTGCGTGGAATTTAGTTAATAGCTAATAGTTGATGGATGAGACAAATGTGAGCTGGAGGCCTGAGCTTTGCTCGCTCTGTGGGGCACTGAAAGGTGTTCAGAACTTGGTTTAAATGTTGAAACATGCAGGTCATGCACCCCATGGCTGAATCTGGCAATCGGGTGCTGTTTGCACATGGAATCCCATTTCAGGGAATGGCCGGTAGTTACACACACGCCCAAGCTTTCCTTTGATTGCAGTGGGAGTTTTGGGCGTGCAAAGAATCTGGGAATGGCTCCTAGATGATTTACTGGCAGATAATTTACACAGGCTACTTCTTGGCTGTGTTGTGTGTGTTTCCTTTCTGCAGAGCCTCTCTTGGAGTAGTTTAAGCACCATCAGATTTATCTGCTGGACCTTTGGAGTACAGTTTTGGGAGGGAATGCCATCAAGTCAACTTCCCCAGTTTTGAAAAAAGGAATGTATATCTAGGTTATTTTTGTGCATGGCTGTCCCTAGGGCTTTAAATGGCTATAAAGTAAGGACTATAGCCATTTAAAAGAAGCTACTAGGAAAGGACCACAGTGACCTTGGCAATATCTAATTGCAGGCGAAACTTTCTGGGTGGGCATTCAGCACTGGATACAAAAAGATACAAAAAAAAAAAAAAAAAGGTAAAACCTTGGCAGGAGCTGCCAGGTCTCATTATTTTCAGTTGAGCCTGACATTTCTGGTGTTCAAAAAAAAAAAAAGAATATAAAGTCAACAACTTCAAAGCAGTAGAGGCGCATGGAAAAAAGGGTTTGGGCAAAACAAATTTAGCAGTGATAAAGTTATAATAAGAAATAAGGAGAGGCTTTTTGCAGGCTTGCTTATGAGTTTCTTCTCTTTTGCTCTCCCTCTGCAGGAATGGGAGCTGGTGGTGCTGGGGAAGTTGAAGTGGAACCTCGCAGCCGTCACCCCACACGATTTCATTGAACACATCCTAAGGAAGGTGCCTCTCCCTAAAGACAAGTTGCTTTTGATCCGGAAGCATGCACAAACCTTCATCGCCCTTTGTGCCACAGGTAGGCTCAGCTGCTCTGGCTGCCACTGCTGCTCATAGTGTGGTTGGAAGGGCAGATTTGTTCCTGGTGGTGCTTCATCCCCTCCATCCTTATGTGATGTGGGAAGAGGAGATAAATCACGTGGGACTGTTTGCAAAGGATGCTGTGAATCAAGCCCCAAAACTGTGCATTGGGCAAAATTCTCGTAGTAGTGACCTGTAGTACAGCTGATGTGTGTGGTGCTTTTGCAGTGAAGTCTTGTAAGGCTGCATTAGACCATCCTGGGTTTTATTTTGCCCATTCACTACTTCTTTTAGAGGGCCACTGATCATTTGTAAGGACAGCTTCAAATACAGAGGCTGTTATGGCACATTAGCCCAAAATGTATTGAGCTAATGCATTGCATGAATGTGTTCATAAACTTTTCATTAATCTGGACTCTGCCCAGGTAGAAGATAAAATTGTGTATTTTAGCATTTATGTGATACTACCACATCCCTGAAGCGCAGGGAATGACAGTTTAAAAGGTAATTACTTTTTTTTTTTTAAAAATTGGATTATTTCCTAGCTTCACCCCAAGGAAGCAGTGAAACTACCTTGTTCCATAGGGAACCATTGCACCCCCTTTTTGTCACACGGCTGAACACAGTTTCTGAAGTTTTCTCTGAGAGTAATTGCCTCTGTGGAAGAGAGGCTTTTTAATTTATACCTGCCTCCAAAACACTGGGTTTTGTTTGTGTTATTTTGCTGTTTGGGTTTTTCTTCCCTCGATTACTTTTACAAAATTAGTGTACTCTGAATTTTCATCCACAGGGTTAATGGTAAGACTAATTTTTAGAAGCTAGATCCGGACTAGACAAACAGCATGCAGCGTTTTCCAGAGTCATTATCAAGTAGTGGATGGCTCTGTTTGAATTCAGCAGTTTGACATACCTAGTCCTTTGTGATAGGAACTGTTCTGCCTGTGTGTTTGCAGAGAGGGAGGGAAGATGGCATGCAACTTTTGGGTTTGAATGCCTGCTTCTTGTATATAAGATGTAGGACTGCTTTTACAATGTTGGTCAATTTTTCAGTTGATGTGTCTTAGAGATTTGTACCTGGGCTGTGTTAGGGTAATTGACTTTTTGGTTGCCATGATGCTCAGACCTTCCCTTCTTTTCCCACTGCTGCATGATCTTTTTTATGCAGCATGGACCATGGGACTCAATAGAAATACTGCTCAAATACTGCAGGATCACTCATGGTGATTTCTTTGCCTTCTCCCCTTACTTAGGATGCATTCTTATGTTCTGCCCTGTGTGATATGAAAAAGATGGTCTTTCCTATAGACATTTCCCTGGATCTTCACACCATCAGCCATCAAAATCCAGTACAGCTCCATGTTGCCTTCCAAACAAGACAATCTTCCCACTCTTTTGTTGCTTTCACTTCCTCCAACAGTGTTTTGGTTTGCTTTCTTTTTTATCCAGCACATCATTTTCTTGAGAGCCCTAGAATTTCATTATGATGTAACATCTCAAATTCTGGTCCATAATCCTTTCCCCTAAAGTTTTCCATATAAATAAACCATCGCAAGACTGTGGTCCATGAAAGAGTCTCCAAAATCCATGGCTTCTTTCCACTTCATGGATTCTTTGGGGGTTAGCTCCATGATGTAGAAGTCTTTTTACTGAGATCCAGAGCAGTGGCCCTTTTCCAGCCCTCAGCCCAGACATGCAGTTCCCTCATGTGTGTCCCCCATGTGATCTGCCTCTCATGTTATATGTCTCCAATGCATGAAATGAGGTCCTTTGTGTAGAGTTTAAAGAGGCAACAATTCAAGGGTTTCTTCGCTTGAAAGACATAATAGCCGAGTACAGAGCTTCCCAAAAGTGAGGGCACCATAGTGCTGGCTGGAGATTTTCTTCTTATGCCATTGTCCACAGACCACTGTGTAGTTTTGAGGAGGACCCACAACACTTTTTCATTTCGAAAGCAGAGGTCTTACCCAGGCACTTAGTACCACATTCCCACATTACCTGCGAACTGCTACTTCAATTTCCATTGTGGAAATGTTGTTCTTACTACAGAATTTCCCTTTCACTGCCACTCTTTGAAGAAAAGCCCCTTCTCATCAGACTTCCTTCCAGATCCAGTTGTCATTTCCTTTTCTTGTCCTGTTTGTTTCAGAGCTTTATTCAGCTGCTCTATTTCTCCTTTCTCTTTTTCCCTCAGAGTTGCTGCTCTGCCAGCCCGGGTTAAGCCTGGTGTTTCATTTCCCCATTTGCCTCCTTTCAGCAATAGGACCTCCTCTGACATGTGGCTCCCTCTTCCCTTGCTCCCCATGTGTGCTTTTAGCCTGGGTTTGACTCTTCACTCTTCCCAAATCTGACCTGGCTGCCTGGCTAATAGCTCTGGTCTGGAGCACAGCAGTGAATCTCATTCTATTTCCTGATTCATCTCAGCACATCTTTCTCTGCTTTCAAGTACTTCTTTAAAGTATCGTGCTAAATCTGGCATATTTTGAACTTTTCTCCCGTAGCCTTAGTTCTTCTTCACCAACTGCTCCATTTAATTTCCCAGCAACAACATTTTACCAGAAATTCCCAGGTGTTCACTGCCTGTACAGGGCTGACTTTGATCTCAGTCCTGCAGCACTTAGTGTCAGCAAATGAAGAGGGAAGCAGCCATGAACAGTTACTGAATGTTGTGCTGGATGTGTAAAATCACTGTGATACTCATCCCTGTTCTCCTTTCCATCTGAGCATTCCCCAAAAGGAGGTGATACTCTTGTCTTCTGCATATTCCTTTCAGTCATATTTGGTCACTTTGGCACTCTGTTTCTCTGCCTTTATTTTGAGCCCAGTTCCTGAACCAAGCTGCGTGGATACAAACCCACGGCCTCTCCCCAGTCCTTGCAGTGATTAATGATTCACATGAGCATGACTGGAACTGGAATGTTTCCCTCTTTGCCCTTGGTCCCATCGGAACATACGGCTGCTGCGCAGGACAGAAGCTTGTATGTCCTCCTGAATAAAGAGTTTTCTCTTTCATTGCTCTGCACTCACAAAGTTTTCAGGCGTCTCCTTCTCCATTGGGAGGGCATGGAAGTGGCATTTTCCTCCAGCTGCCTTGCTCACTGTACAGTAAGAGTGCATAAATGGACACTATGCACTGGCATGGCTTGATCTGTCACCATGTCATTGTTTTCTCATCCCACTGGTGCAAGCCAAAATCTCCTCCAGAACGCTTTTGGATTTTCAAGGCACCAAGGGGATGCATTTGGGGCCTTTAAGTGGTGCTTATGGCTTCTCTCTTATGAGGAGAAACTGAAGGAGCTGGGCTTGGTTAGTCTGGAGAAGAGAAGACTGAGAGAGGATCTCAAGAATGCATATAAATATCTCCAAGGGTTGTTACAGGATGGTGCCAGGCTCTTTTCAGCGATGCTCAGTGACAGGATAAGGAGCAATGGCCATGAACTGAAACACAAGAAGTTCCACGTCTGTGTGAGGGAAAATGTCTGTACATTGAGGGTGGCAGAGCACTGGAACAGCTGCCCAGGGAGGGCCTGGAGTTTCCCTCTCTGGAGAAATTCCAAACCCACCTGGACTTGCTCCTGTGTTACCTGCTCCAGGGCACCCTGCCTGGGTAGGGGTGTGGACTGGGTGATCTCCAGAGGTCTCTTCCAGCCCTAATGATTCTGGTATTCTTCAGTATGGGATGTTCCTGTTCAGCTGTGAGCCCAACGGAGATCATCCTTGTTTTTCTCGCTGGGATTGTTTTGTTTTACCACCCTGCCCACACCTCCATCTCTTTACTGCTCTGCACCCTTTGTTCCTCTGTGTCTTTGCACAGCACTGCACAGCTTGGAAATGTTCTCTCAGGGGTTGGCCATTCGCCTGTGCTGAACTGCAAGCCAGGGAATCACTGCTGGAAGGAGTGGGAGAGAGCAGTGGTTACGGAGGTGTGTGCAGAGCCTGCCACGCTGCTGCTGCTGGAAAGAGAACTGTGCATTATTTCCTTACACTTGGGTGTGCTCATCGTTTCTTCTTGCAGCCTGTTCAGACTCTCAGATGCACAACTGCTTCCTTGTGTTGCACTCTCCTCTCAGAGCCTGTACATGCCACAGTTTCGATGCAGGATACCCCTTTTTATGTGAAAGCCTGTAAGGGAATGATTTTTGAGGGAGGGTGGCCTGTGCCATGCCATGCCAGGCATTCAGAAAGAGAAGCTGTAATGGAAATGCTCATCTCTGTGGGGAGCTTCACAGGATTTTAGTTGAGTGGCAAGCAAAACTTGGAAGCAGAAGCCTTTGCAGACTTGCAGAGACAGAAGGCAGCTGGTGTAAAACCCTGGACTCAGTCCTTTGCATGGTCTTTTCTGTGCCTCAGCTGAGTCCTGTGGCAGGTGGGATGTGCCCATGGGGGATCCATGAGCATCTCAGGCCTTGGGGCCTGTGTCAGCACAGAGGCTGAGAAAGAGCAGCAAAATGTCAGCTTTAAGTCAGTTTTATACAGTATGCCAAACCTCTGCCCACTGTTTCTGGGACATTAATCATCTACATTTGAAAGCTGAGAAGGCTTTTTTTAACTTCTGGGCCAAATCCTGCATCCTTCTTCAGGCAGAGGTTCTGTGGATGTCAATGGGAGTGTTGTCTGAGTGAGGACTGCAAGATGAGGTCTGCAACCCTGGTAGTGGCCTACAGGGTGACCACACAGAATGAGGCCTGTTTGCTTCTCAGCATTCCTGCTGGGAAATTCTACTCTGCATCCCCTTTTCATCTGGTATAGGTTACTGGAACCTGGAAAGTATGATACAAGTTTTATCTGGGACCTGTTCTTTGCAGAGGGAAAGAATGAAGCATGTAGAGGCTTCATTATATAAATGTCTTAAGAAATAAAATTCATATTGCGAAGTAGCAGTGTTAGCAGGAACTTCTTGCATAGCAGAAGGAAGAATAATTTGCACTAATTTATTGCTAGACAAAAGAAGGCTCTTGCTTGTCCAGCTCATATCAGTATATTGAGCTTTGCAGCCAATGG